ACTCTCCCGTCGGTTTTTCTGACGTTTGAAGGTCAAGCAATTCAGTTCCTAGGGACCGACACCCAGACGCCTGTACATATGTTTTCATTATAGTGACGAAGCCGTTGTGCAGAACCACACCTTTTCAAGAGCCGAATACAGAGATCTGGTGTACAATGTGTCACAAGTTCCCCAAACGAACCTCCGCAGGTTTTGAATTCAGAGTTCTTCTCCTAGACCAGTTGACATCCAAGGCTATAGAACCCAGCCTCCCCTGCTATCTACTTATAACTGGGAGGGAGTAGAAGATGATTCATACATTTCCCAAGGAAATATATATATATATATATATATTAACTGATTTAAAATATGTTTTTTCGCTACATAGTAATAACCATGTTTCAAAATGGAAGCTAAAAACTTTAAATTTAATTTTAATCTTAATTATATAATTAAATTAAAAGCATTAGTTCCGTTTCATGTAGCGAAAAAAACATTTTAAATCAGTTAATTTATAATATTTATGCTCTGTGAATTTACACTGAGCACTGTTTTGTAAAAATAAAAATAAAAAATAACAAGAACACCGAATTATATATCTTACTGTTTTATATATATATATATATATATATATATGGATGAAAAAGACAATTAGAAAATATTTCTTAGTCCTTGAATTTGCGTTTCGTCAACCCGACTCTATCAAGACAAGTTTAAAGCGTAAACTTGTAATTACACCAAATTCAAAATATTAAAAAGAATTTGTTTTAGTTTTCCATGTCGAATTACTGTTAAATTTCTCAGAATTATTCTGAAGATAAGACGGAATATGAGAAAGTGGTGGCCAACTATATAACTGTAGCCAAAACTGTAGATGAATGAAAAGCCGTGGGTGAGTCCTTGGAGTGCAGAGCACTCTATTGTGGGACGGAAATATAGAAAATATGTGATAAAAAGTCGTGATGTTCGTGTCAAATTCAACAACCTTTGCCCTCGATTCTATAATAATGCGGCTAAGATACCGGAAAAGTCAAAACACTGATGGTTAAAAAAAAAATAAAAATAAAAAAAGGTTACGCAGTGTGAAATTAATTCAAATTTATTTCAAGTGGGATAATAAAATTTAAAAGGAAAACTTGTTGAGAAAAGACACTAAGTAAGAATTCCAAATAAACGATACGATATTCAGTGGTTTTTCACCCGGGGCGAATGCTCTCCCAAATGGGACATTTTTTTTAAATAACTTCACCCCAAGCAAAGTGATGAAGCCATTAAGACATAAAGGATTGCTAAGAGTGAAAGAAACTGAGTAAACCAAAATTAAAATACCAGGAATTAAAGAGAAAAAAGTTAACGATTGATGTTGCATTTACATTTCTGAAGATCGTAATTATCAAGGAAGCAAGAAACTGAGTTCCACGAGCGAGAAGTGCGAGAGAAGAAACAACAGAACTTACGGTTACATCTAGCAATTTCTGCAATAAAATCATTAAACCTGGCTGCCAATCAAGTACTGCGCTTAATTTCAATTACCATGAAAATATTTATAGAAAAGGTACAGGTAAGTTTCGTTGCGGCGATAGGAAATTGATCACTCTTCACCAATGCAGGTACGTTGCGCAAACACGTCAATCATAGCTCGAGCAGCGGCGAGGAAACATGGCGGTGTCAAAACAGCTCGTTCGGGGCTGTCTGTTTAATGGCTCTAAAGTGGGCTTGTCTGCAGCCGCATCAAATCGCTGAATACGTCAAGCCTTTGGGGATAAGCCAGGCATTAGTTTCTGACGTTCAGATAGAGAGAGAGCTGCCCCTTTGTGATAAATCCCGGCCATAGATTATGGATGAAGGCACCCACAGAGGAGGATAACAACCAAACATGAGTGCTTGCTGAACGCTTCCAGGTTTCTGATGAAACAGTCTTTCACCTGCACCGCATAGGGAAAGCGTATAAGATGAGAGCAAGTGGAGGCCCCAGACACCGTCGGAAGCAACAACTTTCTCAGCACCACAACGTACCCATATTTGATCGAGTGTTCACCAGTGACGAAAAGTGGGTCCTGCATGACATTTCCAAGTATGCCAGACATTGATTGTCATCACGGAACCCTCTGCCTCTACTACAAGACCACCTCTACACCCAAGCAAGATCATGCTGTTTATCTGGTGGACTAGTCGACACAACAAGTGGTGCACTATGACCTGCTACCAACGGACCAGGCCACGTCTGCGGACCTGTACTCGCAGTAGTTGGAACGCATGCAACAGGCACTGAAACAGAAGGAAGCAGCATTGGTTAATCGCAAGTGTGTACTGTTCCCCCATCACAATTCCAGGCCTGATATAGCACTGGTGGCCTGGGATACCATACAGCGACTTAGCTGGGAAACACTGTGCCATTCACTTTACTTTACAAACCTTGCACTAACAGATTATCACCGCTTCCATTCCCTGGGCAACCACCTTCGTGAGAAACCCTTCGCAAATGAGATAGACTTGAGGCAGGCACTCACAGGCTTCTTTG